CGGCCGGCCGCGACAATTATTTTCTTCTTCGCTTGTTGGTGGCCGCAGAAGTTGGCCAACAGCCAGAATAGACAGGCAGACAGACGGACGGGAAGAAGCAAACAGGGTGAGACAAGCGATGGTGAGGTGCAGCAGCCGCAACCAGACAATTGCATCGCATCGCACTGCACTGCACTGCACCGCACCGCATGCTGCAGGGCAGAACTTGGCTGGGACTGATTCTGCGACATGACTACTTACTAAGAGTTTACCATGGAGCCTCTGACGGGCTCTTGACGACTGCGGCGTGCGAGATGATCGTAAGTGGGCTTTTGCTCGCATTGTGAACGGACGTCTCGTGGCCAGCCGAAGCATGAAAGCTCGTGGCCTCATCGTAGATCGGGACGGTGATGGAAATGGGCTCACCATCCATCATGCACTGGGACATCATCCTTCGCCTCTCCACCGCTCCTATAGACAACAGAATCTGCATCGGCACCTGCTGATCTCGGAGTCGGCGAGGAGATGAGGCGATGGGGGGTGGGTGGAAAGCAAGAGCCACGAGTCCTGGGGAATTGGGAAAAAGCCCACGAGCCTGTCGTCCCGGAGATTTCCACATGTCAAGCCGCACACCAAGATGAGGAACGGGAAGTGATATTCGGATCGCCCTCGTCGACTTCCCCTTCAGGGACCGCCCTCTTCGGCGTCACCACGTGCAGACCATGGAGCGTTCTCCGCGGGTCGAACGGGCGGGCGGGCGGCGTGTCTGTCGGTCGGGGCCCTGCGAACGATAATACGGTACTCCTCCCCTTGCACAGAAAAGGGACTTATCATCTGGGGCGGACGGGCTCGCTTGCTCTGTGGAAGTAGACTGCAGCAGAAAAACAAGATCTCAAAGCCGATCGTCGCCCCCTCCATCTCTGGGCCTGAGGCGTTGCGATCTCTAGTGATGTGCATCGCGCGCGAACCAAAAGGCCTGAATTGCCCCTCGCTGCCTTACTCTCGGGCCGTTCAGCTTTCCATGTGTCTTGTGGCGGGGGTACTTTGTGTCTACAACGAGCGCCTCACGATCGGGAGCTTCCTATCTAGCTACCTAGCTATCTTGGGACTTATGTTGTTGATGATATCGTAACTTGATAAATCTGGCTGTTATACATGTTCGTGGATCCTCACGACGACATGCCCAGAGACGTCAGGCCGTCGACGCTATCTGGTCACAGTCGTCGAGCAGGGGTCTGTGAATGAGCAATTGGCGGGCCTGATTGGGCAATTGGGGGACGACGAGCTTTCCTCTTTCTCCTGCTCTCTGCTTTCTTACACAGTATACAGGCATGTAGAGGGATCGCTAGTGAGTTGCTACTGGCGGCCGGCAGGAGTGGCCTCTGCCTGTGGTTCTTATTACTGCGCTGCTGCTGCAAGGTGAGGTTGCAGTCACATCACTGGCTCGCTACTGGTCACAGTAGGACCCTTGACTTGCAGACGAGAGGGGGAGGGGGAGAAGGGGGGCCGGCCAGCCTCTCTCGTTTAGTAAGGTGAAGAGAGAGAGAGAGAGAGAGGAGGGAAATAAGTTGCTTGGGAACTATATCCGATGCAAGGAGAAAAGAGGCGAGTGAGGCAAGTGAGGTAGGTTGTTGTTTGTTTCTTTTTTGAAGTTGTCGTTGTTGTCATGATTCAAGCCAGTGTAGTCAACGTTAAGTCTAAAATCCAAGCTTGTTGTTAGCTAGTTAGTGTGCTGGATTGCGTCAGTTTGACTTTCGGGAGGCCCCAGGTGGTGGGGAAGAGGAACAGCCCAGCCCAGCAGAAAAGAGGCACCGCCCGAGAGAGACAGACAGACCAAGAGTCAAGAGCCCAAGCAAGAGTTCTAGTGTCCTTTTTGCCTACTATTAGACTGGATCCTGGGCGGGTGGACGGGAACCGGTGGGAAAATAAAAAAAAACACGAGCACAACGGTACGAACGGGGTGGCTGAACGGCTTGGGAGCCAGCGAGCCAGCCAGCAGGCGGGGAACAGAGACGAGAGAGACATTGATTGATCGATCGATCGATCCACCAACTGCCACTAATCAGTAAGGGTAAGTGCACTTTCCCACGAGCAATCCATGATCCTTTTCTTGCTGATTTTGCTTCATTTCGTGCTTCTGCTGGGAGTTACGGTAGCAATGATTTAAGTTAGTTTGGGATGCGGTTTGGCAGTTAGGTACAGCGGCGATCAAGGGGGCAGACTAGTCGTCACGTCACCCAATGACGTTACAAGCCAACCGAAGGCGCTCGACGCCATCGCCCTGGGACACCTGCACCCTTTCTTTTTCTTTTTCTCTTTTTTTGCTCTTCTTCTTGGCCCATGGGCGAATCATGACAGAGATCATGACTCTTGAGCTGTGAGATCAGAAAAAATTGTCATCCAATTGATCAGTTTCTTTTTGATTTTTTTTTCTTGTGTAGTAGGGGCTGTTATGTTAGTTTGGTTGCCCGTGCTGCGTAAAACAACGAGTCGGCCGGTTGTGTGGGAAATGAAATGAGGGTGATGTCAGGGCCTCTTCTCTAGCCAAGATGGATAACGTTCGAGGTGAAGTATCTCTTAACAATTTCCCAGACTTCCATCCACAAGCAATAAGCATAAGCTTTCTTTCTTCACTCCTTTTGAGTCGCCTGCTTCCCGTCGCCGCGATATTGCAGCACATATTGTATTCAATTACTGCATGCTATCAAATAGCCAGGCGGGGAGAATCAGCTGGCGGATGCGACTCTGTGACGGGTATCATAAAGACACATCCATCACACGTGCATCCCCTTTTTCATTCGATCGGCAGTTAGACAACAGACAGACATGTACTTACAGAAGATAAGACGGTGAAGGGAGAGAGAGGCTATCACCAGCCCAAAGAATGGGCGGAGTACCGACGGTCCACAGCGGCCCTCTTTTCCTGCCCAAGGCCCCAGATTGGATTGGGATGCCACCCTCCCTCCCCAACACCCAATCCTCTCTTCTTCTCCCTCTGTGCCTTCGCCTCTACCGGTAGAGTACAGTGTAAACTGCAGTACTATGCAGTAGGAACCGGAGTGGGCCGTTGGTGGTAAGTCGCAGCGGGTGGGCCCATCTACACTAGGTACGCACTACACTACGAGTATTATGTATTCTTGTATTAAAGGTGCTTGGAGGCTAGGCGATGCCTGAGCCTGGGAGGCTGGGCTAGGATGGAATTAGCGTAGCGCCCAGCCACCAAAGGCACTAGACCTGGGCCTAACCGTGCGCGCGGGACCTTGGCTCGTTCGTTCTCATTCAGTCCATCCATCATCAGTCATCAGTCATCAATCGTCAATGCTGTTGCTGCTGCTGCTGCCACTCTCCCTCTCTCTCTCTGTGAGTATCTCTGCCTTCTGTCTCCGGTGCCCCAATGGAGAGTGACATTGTAAAGTATCGTTGTATCTCTTGACTGTGCTTTAGTTGGGTTGCAGAGAGTTATTATATCACAGAAGACAGGGTGAGAGAAGGGGGGAAAAGCAACAGCCCACTGGCCAGCCTCCACCATCAACGAAGTGCTGTCTCCGTGTCTCAGTCGGCGGCGGCCATAATGATACTGACGTATGCCACCCAGCCTTCGATGGCTTGAGGCTGGACTGGAGTGTACTACCGGTATGCAGTATACAATTGATGTTTGCCGGGTCCCTCTCCTCTCCTCTCCTCTCCTCTCCTCACGACGACATTCACATCGCATAATATTAGCATAGTAATAGCAATAGCACCAGCTTAGGTAGGCAACTCCCCGCCCTAGCAAGCCCTGCCCTGACCCTGTCGGTCCCAGCTCCTGATCCATGCCCATATCATTTCCCGCCCCAGAGGCAACCCCCCCGGCCCCCGGTCTGTCCTGCTCTCCCTAGGTAGACAGGCTGGCAGGGTACCTTAGCGACCTTGAGCCTGTTCAGTAGACCCGAGACCCGTCCGTCAGTGGCCTGCTCGGGCTTGTCCTTGTCCTGGTCCTTGTCTGTCCTTGCCTGCACTGCACACTGCACACACCACAGCTTGCTTAGGCACAGGCACACAGACCACCCACTACTACTACTGCTGCTGCTGCTGCTGCTGCCGGTCAACTCCTCTGGGCACATCTCCCGTCTTTTCCTCTTCTGGTCCCCTCCTCTTCCTGTCAGTCCAGTCAGTGTGTGTATGCATGCATCTCGTCGTTCGATTCTCTGGCTGTTTGTGGGCGTATCTACCAATGTCTTTGTCTTTGTAGCGCATTTGTACCTGTCGTCGCGTGCGGTTTTTCTTGCCTTGCCGTCTTCGAGTTCGCCACGAGATCGCCCAGACTCGCCTCGCCCAATCACCCGGACGGTACCTTTTACGTTGCTTGGACGGATAATCAGGAAGTGGAAGGCATAGAGACAGAGATAGAGACAGAGACAGAGAGAGAGCCCGTCTCGGCCGTTGCCTGTATGGCGCCGTGTACCTGTGAGTGACGTCCCAGTGTCTCACTCGCCCTCAACCTCAACGATCAAACGGACGACATACACCACCAACTTTTTGCTTGAACGTCTCATTGTTTTTTTGTTTTTTGCTTCTTCCCTGTTCTATTCATATACATACGCACATACACTCTGCCTCCAACCAAGACAGGTCTCAACCTTGCAACGTCTCGCCGTCTCTGCTGCTCCACAAGCAAGCAAACAAACACGACCCACGAACACCAGTCCCCTCAAACTCACGCAGTCTGACCTGCATTTCCCCCATTGCGCATACTAAATCAATGTCTCTCTCTATAGCGGACGCAGTCACACTCTGCAGACTCTGCTCTGCCCACTCCTAAAGCCATGGAGTCCGCGATAGAACCCCCCTTACTGCCGCTGCAGGGGGCTCGCCTCCCCAGCGCGCAGCAGACCGCCAACATCACGACGACGACGACGACAACAACAACAACAACCACGACACAGCAGCAGCAACGCCTCCCCCAGAGGAAGGAATCGCTACGGAGCCCGATCTCCGCGAGGGTGCCCCGGGAAGCCCGAGTCAGGCGGTCGCCGCAGCAGATGGCCGCACGGGGGCGCGCCGGCGCCGGCGCGGCCGCGGCGGGAGGCGTGGGAGCGAGGCCCAAGTCCAAGACGCGCGCCACGCCGGCCGCTGCCCTGTCGAAGCCGCTGCTGCCCGTCTCGGAGCGCAAGAGCCAGGAGGACAATGCGCCGTACCTGCGGGTGAAGAAGGGCTCGGACGAGAAGGTGGACATCACGCCCGACGGCGGCTCTGCTGGGCGCGAGGGTAGGCAGTTTACTGTGGCCAATGTCGGAAACAATGGCCGCATCTACTTGAGGTACGTCTTGTTTCCCTCACAGAAGGTCTGGACCGGGCTGGCAGGCAGTATTTGGTCTTGGATATGCGTGGATTGTGCCTTCGAGAGACTTGCAACTGACTGTTCACTTAGACCTACTGTGCGCCCGGCGCATCAGCGATACCCCCAGCCGCACTTTGTGTTTCCTATGACGCCTCCGGGAACTGCAGGCCTAGAAGCCATGGCTGCTGAGAAGGAGAGGGAGAGGGAAAAAGAAAAGGAGAAAGAGAAGCAAGAGTCAAAGCTGGACATTGGTCGCCTGCATGGAACACAATGGACTCCGAGCCACGCACCATCGACGCCGACAACCCAGCACCAGGCCTACATAGGGCACGGGAGAAACATGTCTCGGGCAGGGCATCGGCGCGCACTCTCTGACTCTACCGTGCCAGACACCAGTGTGGCCCGCGAATCGGACGCTGGCGGATTCAAGATCATCATCACACAGCCGGGCGAGGACCAGCGGCCCAAGACATTGGAGGATATAGACCCGAACTATGTGCCGTTACTCGAAGTCGCGATCCCCTCGTGGAGGATAGGAACTCCCCGGTTCTCATTACGAGGCACACCGTTCATCCGCGGCTCTTCATATGCGCCCACCGAGGAGTTTCGCTCGAGTAGTCACTCCCTGCTGAATCGATCATTCCGGGACATGACGCCTCAGATCGGATCCATTGCGTCTAGGAGGCCAAGTCCGGTTGATATGCCGCAGCTCCAGGTGCCCATAAACTCAAGCATACCGCCTCCGCTGCAGTCCGGACGACTACCTGCGCCGAATATGCTACGGTCGACATACATGTCTACTCACCTGGTCATCGAACCTGCCATGTTCGATTCTTTGACATTCAAGCCCGGCTGCGACGACCGTGCTATTGTCCGATACTCATCTGCAACTGGAGCGGTAACAGCCGCGACACCGCCCAGACTGGTCGCTGAGATTACATCTCCAAGCTTCCTGGACTACGAACTATTATCAGACTTCTTTCTCACATTCCGCGCATTCCTGGACCCGACGGAACTGCTTCGGATGTTGATTGCTCGACTGAGATGGGCCCTGGCAAGAGACGACGAAGTGGGAATGGTTGTGCGGGTTCGTACATTTGTTGCGCTGAGACATTGGATCCTGAACTACTTCATGGACGACTTCGTTATCGACTACAACCTGAGACTCACCTTCTGCGATCTGCTCAATGATTTCTGCGACGAGCTGTCTCAGGACCTCAGGGCACGGAAAGTCCAGCTCAAGATCTTGGCCGAACTCAAGAAGTGCTGGCGTAGAGTGTGCGCGCAGTATTGGGACGGCCCAGAGTTTGATGCTTCGTTACCACCGGACGCACCAATCGCACCAGGCGGTATTGCCGGACATCGCAATCCAAGCTTGGATCCCAGCTTCTGGGAGAGTCTGCTAGATGGGACTCACCAACTTGATGGCGTCTTTCCTGCTCCTCAAACACTAGACAATGTGGATTCGGGTGTCTACCACGACATGGGCGGCCGCTCTGGTAACATCGACTCCGTACTGATGGGATACGACCGACCGGGGACGCCGGAGAACCCAACTCGACCGACCGACGAGTTGGAGAGGGGGCAGACGTCACCAACGAGTGTGATGAGCTTAGAGGTCATTTCTTGCTCATTCCCGAGCAAGAACATGAAGCTTGGACAGCCCAACTCTGGCTATCCCCTGGCGGCTCATCCTGTACCTATTGACCCAAACACGGTATATAGCCCGACGGAACAGGTGGCTACGACGCCAAGAGCTCTCATGGGCAAGCGGGTCCGCCCTCAGAACAGCCACAAGCGAAACGTAAGCTTGACCGATTCGCTGAGAGAGCATGCATCGGCGCAGGAGAAGATGATACAGAAGAACACCGAAATTCTCCTGTCATTACCATACGCCGGCAGCCTAGTCAGAGGCAATTTGCTCCCGCCTGGCCAGGCGTTCGTAGAAGTCCTACCGCCGAGCACATCAGGTGGTCCCAGCCGCCATACGACAGTCTTTCAGCCCTACGAAGAGGAGCCCGAGAAGGACAAGGTCTTTGCCTCGGCCATGTCCAGCCAGGGAATGAAGAGGCTCCTCGGAAGCGTACGTAGAGCGCTGAGCACGAAGGGACAAGGGATCTCCCCGACCCAGGGGAACTTTATCAACATATCGCCCATCGGCCCTAGAGGAGCTACTACTAACAGACTCCCTGGTACCGCTATCGTGCCCCAGGCGCGGCCACGCCAAGACGGCTTCCGAGCTCCTGTCAGAATCGACCTTCTAGGCGCTGAGATTGCGGAGGACTTCAAGAAAGCAGTGCGCGAGGATGCTGCTGCTGATGCAGATAAGCTCAGTTTTCTGCCATCGCAGTCAGGTGCTTCAAGTCGTTCTACTCTCAAGTTACCTCGGCAAACTATGGAGTATTCGCCCGTTGAAGCAAAACAGACGTTGGAAGACAAGCTTCGGCAGGATGAGAATCGTCCGCTCAGCGACACTGCTATCACTACGGGGAGCAAGTCTATTGTCATTGTCGACGATACTGTGCCTATGCCCATGCAACTACCTATCATGGCCGGGGCATTACCTGCAGTCAATTCCTCCGTCGAGGCGTTTGCGGAAACATTCATGCCTCCACCGCAGGATCCAACGCCACCAAATACGCCGCCCGGACAAGCGGTTGACACGCCTAGGCGCTCATCCTACATTCTTGGGCAGCATGTCATTCGCACATCATACTCTGCCGATCCTCTTCCCCCTTTCATCCCCGATATGGATACTCTTGGTCCAGCCCCTAGTACTCGTCCCTCTGAAGACATTGCTCGACCATCTGTGGAGTTTGTTCAGCAATCACCCAACCGTCCACCCCTCAGCGGCAGACCAGGCCACGCGAGGCATCGCTCAAGTAGGTCATTTCGATCCAGGGGGTCAATGGCTCGGAGGCGGTACACTTCGTTCCATAGCGGCACGATCCCAAGATCCACTATCCGCAGCTTTGACGCTACCACTTACTCTGAAGGGTCAGTCGACGACATGTCTGATGTACCAATGCCTCAGCCACTGCGCGTGCTACGAAGAAGACCTGGCGGAGATCTCAGGGCTGTCGAAAACGTTGGCGATCTTGACCATGCGCCGCTGCGCAGGTCGCGCTCGGTAGGATCTCTGACAACCTTCACAGAATCGGTGCGCAGCTCTTATATGCGCAGTCCCATGACAGCCGGCCAAGAATCAAGCGGCTTTGTTGATGTTGTGAGCAGCGACTACTCTCATGACCGGGCCGAGGGGACGTTCTCCCTAGGCGCGATCGCCGAGAAGCCCAAGCGTCAGCTTTCGCTCTTCAGCACCCATTCATCAAAACCGATCATGCGGCCGTCGTTCGAGGCTGAGGCGCAGAAGTTGGCCCAAATACCGGATGATGTGGATGACGATGGCGGAGTGGAGTCAGCGTTGCTGAAACTTGAAGGCAAATACGAGAAGAAGCCCCTGAAGCTCTCTACTGAGCCGACCAAGGAGAAGCTGAAGCTTCCAACCACTTCGTTACAGCCACCGGCTCCGGAAGCCCAGGAGAATACTCATGTCACGGAGGAGAAGAAGAAGCATCGTCACGAACATGTTGGCGAGGAAGGCGTTCTTCCACACGCGCCTGCACCCTCTGCAGGTGGTACACCTGCAGATTCTCGGGGCAGCTTCCTCGAGATACCGCCACCGGGACCAGCGCAACGAAGAAGTGAGGCTTTGCAGTCTTTCTTGTCGGGAGGTTCCAATGGATCTTACTCGTCCATACCCTTACTGGAGCGCGGTCTGACCGATGATGGACGGAGGAGCAAGGCGGAGTGGACCAACCGTTCCATACTGCAAGGGCCAGATGAAGATTTGGCGACGCCCAGCGACAAGAGCAGCGAGAAGGACTCTCAGCATCCATCGTACGACTTTGTCAAGAAGACCGAGAGCATGGAGAAGATTAAGCCTGGCGAGACGATGCCTACGACCCGACCCAGTGCTGAACAGCTCTCTTTCCTGAATGACGAGAGCGACGACGATGGTGAATTGTCTTCAGAAATTTCCGAGGATATTATCGAAGAAGAGTTTTATGACGAGGACGACGTCCAGACATTTCCACCTGTACGATCAAACACTGTCATTTCTCGATTACCTCCTCACCCTCTCGCCGAACCCCAACCGGAGCTGTACCCGTCGGACCATGACAGCCAGCCACCCTCGCCGCAGATGACGATGGGCCAAGCTCTCGCCATGTCTCCTGAAACTGCTGGGATCCCTCAGCTGCACGATCACCAGGTCTGGGATGAGAAGCCACTGCCACCTACACCGGATACAACCCCTACAACGGCCCAGTACGGACAGTCGATGGAGTCTGCTCGAGATCCGACGGGCACCACTGAGGCTCTTCGCAATGCGCCAAAGATGCCTGATCAGCCGTCTCGTAAATTCTCTGTTCATCTGCCGTTCATCCTTGCTTTCGATTCAGAGGTCCTTGCACAGCAATTCACCTTGATCGAGAAGGATGCGCTGAATGAAATTGATTGGAAAGAGCTCATCGACATGCGGTGGAAGAACGCAGAGAATGGCGACAGCCGCTCTTGGGTCGACTTCCTGCGCAATACGGATGCTCGTGGAGTCGAGGTTGTCGTTGCTCGCTTCAACATCATGGTGAAGTGGGCGGCATCCGAGGTTGTCCTCACGCAAGACATTGAAGAGCGTGCGCGATGCATTATCAAGTACATCCACATCGCAGCTCATTGTCGACGATACCGCAACTTTGCGACGATGAGCCAGATTGCCATCGCGCTCACAAGCAATGAGATCAGCCGCCTTTCCAAGACCTGGAGCATGGTCCCGCCTTCGGATATCCGAGCACTGAGGGACATGGAGGCCCTGGTGTCGCCAACACGCAACTTCTACAATCTCCGTGCCGAGATGGAAGGTGGCGGGACTGCCAGCGCTGACATGGGCTGCATTCCATTCGTGGGCATATATACTCATGACCTCATCTTCAACGCACAGCGGCCAAGTGAGATTGCGAGCAGCCCGACCACGGCCCCGCTTGTTAACTTCGAGCGCTGCCGTATCGCCGCTAGCGTTGTCAAGACATTGCTCAGACTTCTCGAGGCTAGCACCTTGTACACTTTCCAGCCGATCGAGGGCATCACTGAGCGCTGTCTCTGGATGAGCGCCCTTGGGGACGAAGAGATCAGACGCCATTCCGAGTCCCTTGAGTAGGACACGACTTGAGGGTCTCTACATTACTTACACCAACCTCGGGCCATGAACGATAATTCGAAATGGCCTGAGCACATTTTCCACCTGTACACCATCTGAGTGCGCAATCTCTTTTTTACAAACACATACACATATACAGGATAGACCACTGTTCGCCCACGCAAACCCCTGTACCACCACCACGCAACTACCTACAGCTATCACCAGCTGCACTCTATTCTCTCGCACATACACACCTCCCCCTGTCAGGGGTTCCTAATCATCTCACAAATCAACCACCTTCGCTTGAATTTACGGCCTACTTTTTCATTGTGTTTACTAGCGTTTTTCTGTCTTGGATGGATTGGGAAACAGGAAACGGACCGGTACGCAGGCGAAGGTGTCTGCCGAAGCGTCTGAGCGTCTGAGCTTTCGGGAAGCCTAAGACATGTGGAAGGAGTCCAGGCCTGGCATTATCATTGTCATCATCATCATCATCATCA